ATTTGTATCAGAAAAGTGTACCAATAATAAAATCTAAATTAATAAGAAAATAATTATTGTAGAATATTGTGGTCATTTTCACAGTCATTTTATGTGCAGAAAAACATATTTTGCTCAAAAAGAGTTTTTTGTGTGTTTGTTGATACCATTTCTATTGATAACAATAACACGATTGTGTGAGTCCAAAAACAATGAAGGAATTAAGTCACTGTCAGCAAAACACAAAACTACTCAAAAACATGGACACAACAGTTTAGTGACATCACTCTGTTTTTAATGTCAAACTTGGGTCAAGCATGTCATTAAAAACAAAATATTATATCATCTTGTGGTAAAGCTGTAAATCCTGAAAAGCCTAGTGATGGTAACTGAGCCCAATTGTTGTGCTTTTAAGACCATGCACCATACCACCAGTAACTGACCCAATTCACAAGTCAATGCACCAAAACAAAACTGAAATTTCATTGTTCAACTTTTAGGCTGATTGATCTGAGGCAGTGGGCCTAAAGAAAAGCTAATGTGGTGATGAGAATTTGTGTGTAATTGGTTGTCTAGTATTGRGCTATTAAAGGTTTTGATTTGTTTAGCTGACCAGTTAATTGGAAGAGACTTGTCTTAATATATAGTAATGGGCACAGTGGACAAAGGAAATGCAAGCATCTATATGGTGCTAGAAACCCAATTATAGTTGATCATCAATGCCCCCCTCCTGTTGTGTAATTAGGGCTGTGCGTGTTTGATGAAGAACTGTGAGGAGGCAGTGCTTTACTGTGATCCCTGCTGTGTCTCTGCTTAACAACTGTATTAGCATATATTCTRGTTTCTTCATTTTGTTCGTCTTTATGTATTTAATAGGCTCATTTAAAAAAGACAAATGTTTAAATTCTGACCACATTAAGCCTTCAAACCACTTTATTGTAAAAAAAAAACTAAAATAGTATTACTTAAATGCTGTTATTTAAAACTTAAAGTGCCAGTGACATCATCATTTTTGTAATAAATATAAATGCATTTATGGAAAGATAACATTCATAAAATAGAAAAAAAATGTACGCCTCTGAGATGAACAGTTGTTAAGATGTTCTCATTTGAAGTAATAGGAAGTGATGTCAAAGGGAAATATGAACAAGCCATTGCTACAAAGGCCAACAACACAGACCGTAGAAAATAATCTGTTTCTCTATACAATTTTTTGGAGTCATTGTCAAAGAGAGTGAGATGAAGACATCAAAGTTGAAATGATATTGCTTCAATACAAGAAGACTATGGAGTTTCCTATCTTAATATCTCATTTTGGCCGAGCCAAATTCAAAAGTAAATATGCCAGTTATGTGACAAAATGGGTAAAATCATGTGTTATGCCAAGTTTCTAAAGTATATACAGCGGGTAAAATAAGTGTTGAATACGTCACCATTTTTCTCAGTAAATATATTACTAGAGGTGCTAATGACATGAAATTTTCACCAGATGTCGCTAACAACCCAAGTGA